AAAGTTACAATTTAAATAATTATCAAGACAAATATTTATAATGTATATATATACGAAAAATTTGACTCAAAAATTTGTATTTAATAAATATAAAACATAAAAATACATAATAAATATTTTTCATGATATACACTCTAAAATTCTACAATATTTTTATTTTATAATATAGTGATATTTTTCTTGATATATTTTTTAACGATCATTATATATATGTTTATTTAATATTTATAACAATAATGTGAGCTCCGTGTGAATGCATGGCTAAATGAGTAGATGACTTATTACTTTTTTTTCCATCTAAAATATATGTTTTCGACGGATCGAGACTACTTAATTTATATATTTTTTATATATATTTCTTAATCATCATTATACTATATTTATTTATTATTTATAACGATATTGTACAACCCTGTGAAAAGTACAGGTATATGACATCTTAATTATTTCATTTATTTTTTCCTATTAAAATATATATTTTTGACGTGCGAGATTACTTAATTTATATATCTTTTATAGTAAATTTTTTAACAATCACTATATTATATTTATTTACTATTTATTTACAACTTAATATCAATTATAATCTTATTTTTCATTATTTTGTATAATATAGTGGAACATATCACTATATTATACATATTCAAGATTTGTAATTACACTGCGTGATCAATGCAAATGCACGAATAAATGATTATTTAATTATTTTATTGATTTTTTTCTATTAATATATACATTTTTGACGGGTCGAGATTACTTAATTTATATATATTTTGTATACATTTTTTAACCATCACTATATTTTATTTATTTACTATTTATAGAGACATTGTGCGATCCGTGTGAACGCACTGATAGATGACTACTTAATTATTTTTTTTATTTTTTCTATTAAAATATATATTTTTGACCGGTCAAGACACTTAATTTGAATATCTTATATATATATATATATATATATATATATATATATATATATATATATATATATATATTTGAATATCTTATATATATATATATATATATATATATATATATATATATATATATATATAAGATATTCAAATATATATATATATATATATATATATATATATATTATTTATAGTAAAATAAAATATATCTCTATATTATATTTATTTATGATTTTTTAACTACAATGTGAGACTCGTGAGAACACATGAGTTCTTTACTACTAAATATATAATAATTCAATTTTATTTTAGTTTTTCAAATTTGTTTTTAATTTAGAAGAATTTTTTTAACCATTTCTATAAAAATTAATTCAATCTATTAAGTATGATTTCTCTTATATTTTTCTAGATAAACAAATATCATATATTTAATAAAAAAATATATGTGATATTATGACATGATACAAGAAAAATAAAATTGACTTAAAAAAAAATTAGCTTTTTTATGATAAAATATGAATATTTATACTAAAAATTGATACAAATATTTGTTTTTATAAAAAAATGAAACAATTATAATTGATGAATACATAAATTTCTTATGAAACACAATTTTGTTATTTTTTATATTTTATATACATTTTCTAAACATCATTATATTATATTTATTTACTATTTATAATGACATTGTGTGACTCGTGCAAATACATGAAGTAGATGACTACTTAATTATTTTTTTTATTTTTCTCCTAAATTATATATTTTTTGACGGATCAAGAATATTTAATTTATATATATATATTCAGATAAATGACAATTTAATTATTTTCTTTATTTTTTAATTAAAATGTATATTTAGATAGGCCGAGACTACTTAATTTGTATATCTTTTACATATTTTTTTTAACTATCACTACACTATATATATTTACTATTTATAATAATATTGTGCGACACACGAGAAGATAATTGATTTTATATATGTATGTGTGAAGTGTAATACATCATATACTTATATTTTTTAACATAATTTTTATGTGTATCCGGATATTACTACAATTTAATAAATTAAATTAATATTTATATAGAAATCATTATTAAATTTTTTTTCTATTAATTCATATATAGTTTATATATATATTTCTTAATTATAAATATATAATATTGGTTAAATATTTATATCAACTTTTTGCAAATAAATAATATCAATGTTTAAAAACCATGGGGACAAAAAATAAAAATGATTTTGGGAGCACACATCGGTTTCGCCTTCTAGTTTCCACTTCAAGCAATCGATCTCCGTCGGCTGAAACAGCTGCTACGGTGAGAGAAGCGCGTGTTGGTTCTTGGCGATCCCACTTTCTACGCGCCATCAGGTTCGTTAATATCTACCACTTACTCTCTAATTTTCTTAAAAAATAACTGTTGTTATTCCGTGATAGCACCGTTTCTGTTCTTATATTGAATAACTCAAGGTTATATGAATTTGGATTTGATTACATAAAATTGATAACCATGTCTCCTTACATGTATAGTATAAGGATTCCAATAATCAGTTTCTGGTTTTGATTGAGTGGATTTGTTTCATGTTTAGATAGGAATGGATGCGCAGAAGCAGAAAAGCAAGTACAGTATAATTGTTCCGACATATAATGAACGACTCAACATAAGCCTCATCATTTACCTTATATTTAAGCACTTTCCGTAATTTCTCCGTCTCTTGCTTCTATGTATACTCTCTCTTCAATTTTTGTTCCTGATCAATCATATTTATGAATACTTCTTTCTATTGCTCAATTTTAGGGATGTTGATTTTGAAGTTATTGTCGTGGACGATGGGAGTCCTGATGGTACTCAGGATATTGTAAAACAACTGCAGCAGGTTTACGGAGAAGATCGGATTGTAAGCTTTGACCTTTGTATAGATAATGACTAGTAATTTGTGATCAGTTATATTTTTTGGGATCTCTCTCACCCTCCCTTATTTAGAGTAACCCTGTTTATTCTTGTGGTTGCAGCTGTTAAGAGCGAGACCTAGGAAGATGGGTTTAGGTATGTACCTGATGCTTTTAATTAATGATGTTGATAAATTGGCCTTTGATGTTATTAATTTGCAGGAACGGCTTATATTTATGGCATGAAACATGCATCTGGAAATTTTGTTGTCATTATGGATGCCGATCTATCACATCATGTAAGTTATTTTATTCACATGTATACATAGGTTGCTGTTTTGAAGAATAATTAAGTAGACTTGGATGAACTTTGTTTTAGATTTAGTTTGGAGAATTTGTTTGTTGCGGCGTTGTATTATTATTATTATTATTATTATTATTATTTTTCTAATCTGTTTAGTTCTTCTGCAGCCAAAATATTTGCCCGGCTTCCTTAGGTAAGGAAAGTTTTTAATCGTGTTTTTCTTATTTTCGTCTTACCTGCCATAACTTAACTCTGCCCTTTTTGTTTTTCAGAAAACAGTTAGAAACTGGTGCTGATATAGTTACAGGGACTCGTTATGTTAAAGATGGGGGTGTGCATGGATGGAATCTCATGCGCAAACTAACAAGCAGGGGAGCGAATGTTCTTGCACAAACACTTTTATGGCCTGGTGTCTCAGATTTGACAGGGTCTTTTAGGTATAGAGCTTGATAATGGATATTAAACAGTTTGGGGAGTATTGCTCATTGCTCTCATGTTGGCTGGTTTTGAGATTGATGTACTGTTGTTTTTTGTAGACTTTATAAGAAATCAGTGCTCGAAGATATCATTAGTTGCTGTGTTAGTAAGGGATATGTCTTTCAAATGGAGATGATAGTAAGAGCATCTAGAAAAGGGTACCATATCGAAGAGGTGCAATTATTTAACTTGTGATGGCTATTCTTTATAACCTAGTTGTTATGTGTCTTCACAGCTCATGAACTACATGTGTAATTAGCATTGATCATCGTTGCACATGCTTGCCATTTATACACATCTTGGATATATCTAGTGTAGTTTTATTTTTTTGATATATAACTTTTTCATTATTCACTTTGTAGCTTACCTTAGTTTCCCATGTGTACAGGTACCAATCACGTTTGTTGATAGAGTATATGGAAGTTCAAAGCTTGGTGGATCAGAGATTGTTGAATACCTGAAAGGCCTAGTATATCTTCTCATAACAACATAAAAAGATAAATGATAACAAAACATTTATTATGTCTCTGTCTGGCAAAAACTCCAATGATGTAGTTAAAAAACCAAGGACACAAGTTTGACAGCTAGAAATAGAATGTTCACAGTTTGCCTTTTGAATTTTGCAGAAAGCTTCTTTATGATCCGTGTGTTTATAAGCCTGTTGGCAAATATTGATGATTGATCGATTTTGGTTTACCTGAAGTTGTGATTTATGTTTATCCATTTTCTGGTTTTTCCTTCTAGTCACTAAGCTATAATATGCGATTCACACATGCACTAGCATTTGTCAATTCAAAAGTCTCAGCATTTGTAAGGAGTCACAAAAGGATGTGATGAAGAAGGCGCAATATACATATTCCCCTTGTGAAAAGCATTGAACAACTTTCAGTAATGTGAACATAACGCTAAACTACAAGGTTGAAAGCAAAGCCCGTGGCAAAAGCGGTCGAAGGACACAAGTTTATTCATATTTTTCCAAATGAACCAAATTCAGACACCAAATAAATTTGATAAATTTCAGGGGATTTGACAAACCTTTTTTATGGATAAGTTTCAACGAAGCCAAGGTTGAAGAAAACAGTATGCCACGCATTTTAATTAATACTACCATAAGAGTTGGATGAATCTCAAACAAGTTACATTCTCTCTTCATCTTTGCTTTGTGTATTCTCTCTCATTTTCTTTCGTTCTTAACATTCGCCCCTTCACCTTAGTCAAAAGGTAGAAAATCTATATTGAATTATTAACAGCTTAAATGGTCCTCTTTTCGCACATTTTTCATCATTTTATGTTAAACTGAAATACTAAAACATGCCTTCTTATGCTCACATACCAAGCTTCTATGACTGTGAATGTAAATAGAAACGCAACATAAGGAAGAAGCTGCGCTGCAGCTACTGCATAAAAGTTATGGCATCTACTTTGCGAACTTCTTCGATTGCAGTCTTGTCTTCACAACATCACTCTTCCCCTTCCACTCATTCTCTCTCCCTAACCAAAGGTAAATTGTCTTAGAAACTTCACCATAATTTTCGTGTGAGGCATGCGGCAAACCCATTTTCTATATATTTTGGGTCAAAGCTATGAACTTTTTATGATCTTGGGGAGTTTTTAATGCAATGGTTGTGGCTTTGCAGGGCAAGGGCAGAATTGTGTTTCATGGAATTGAAGGAAAGTCTCAGTTTTCAGTTTTGAGTGTTGCCACTGAAATTAACTCTCCACAACAGGTAGGTAAGAGATTTTTCATTTTTTGCTTCTGTCATTCTTACCCTTAATTTGCACTTTCTGTATTTTTTTTAATCTATTTTGGTAACATCTTACTTAGCATATTCAGATTCAGAGGATTGTTTCTAAAGAAAGCCAAAGGCCAGTGTACCCGTTTTCTGCCATAGTTGGACAGGATGAGATGAAGCTTTGCCTTATTCTCAACGTGATTGATCCAAAGATCGGAGGTGTAATGATCATGGACGAAAGGGGAATCGGGAAATCTACAACTGTTAGGTCATTAGTCGATTTACTTCCTGATATCAAGGTTGTTGCTGGTGATCCTTATAATTCAGATCCAGAAGATCAAGAATTCATGGGTGTTGTACCCCAAAATTTGTCCTTCCATTTTACTCGACATATGTTCATGGAGATCCTCAACTTGCTCAAGGATACCCAAAAGTTGACCAGACAAACTCTCTCCTAAAGCAATGAACCTCCAACTAGGATTTTCATTTTCATCAAGATGTGTGAGCTCCAAAGGCCTCATATGCTCTCCATAGTCCTGATATGTCCTCAAGATCATCCATGCCAAGTTTCATGCCTTGCACAAGAAGTTTGCTCAGTCAATTGCTCAGATGCTTGAAAATCAACTGTATTAGGTCAAAAGTCAACTGTGGCCCACATGCAGTCAAACTTCAAGATTTTTGGTTAACATCAACATTTTGAAGTGTTATCCATCATTTGATCAAGGGTTGATCATGATTCCTCAAGGAATGCTCCTAATTCATCAAAACTCAAAAATTAGGGTTTCTCAAGAAAAGTCAACCAAATTTTGACTAAACATAACTTTCTCATACTTCATCAGAAATTTCTCATCCAAAGCTCATTTTGAATAGAATCCAATTCCCTACAACTCATCTTCATCCCTCAAGTTCAAAAAATGCACTCATGAAAAGATATGAATTTCTACATTATAGATCCATTTGAAAAGTCAACAAAAACACATTTTGGGTCAAAGCTTCTTACATGAACATGGAAGACCCAATTTAGATGAAACCAAAAGGGTTGTTTAGGGGACATCCTAAGCTTTCTAAAAAGTCCAATAACACCTCTCTAGAGTTAAAATTGGAAGAGATATGCATTGTCAAAGTTGGCCATTTTTGAAAAATTGGCAAAAGTCAAATGTGCTCAAAAGTGCATTTTTTGTCAAATGGGCATAGCTTTTCATGATTGTATCTTGTTGAAGACATGGTCCACGACCCTAGTCAGCATCCATATATTATTTTCTTTATTTATTTATTTTATTTTGATTTTTATTATTTAAAAGTCAAATTAAATCAAATAAATGGCAAAAAATATAAAAGATTGATTTTTTTGATCTGATTTTTGTTAGAATCAAATCTAATCAAGCTGGCCTAATCAGATTAAATCGTATCAAGGATGATTGGAGCAAGAATGAAATGATTTGGCTTATTTTGGAAACAAATAATGCATTTAACAATCAAGATCCTTTCTCCTTAAATTTCAAGATTTAAGTTGTTTTTGTTGACCTAATACACTCTATTACATATACACAACGCAACCAAGGCAAAAGGACAAAGGTTGAAGTCGTGTAAGCTAGCCAAGAAAACTCAAAAATTGGACAAAAAGTGTGGATCTGATTTCTAACCTAGGGGACGATTCAAGGCCATTCAAAGCTTCTAATCGCTTCCTGGACATCTCCTAAAACTAATATGATCGTTTGCAAGCCTTCCCAAGCCCAGAATCGCTCCTGATGGTAAAGAGAAGCGTTTGCAAAGGGGAAGACCTGGGTTCGATACCCAGGTCTAGAGTTTTTCATTTTCTCGTTCGTTCATTGCAGCTTCCATACACCTCTTTGCCTAGCGCCCACCATGCACTCCCATCAATAGTCCGTCAGATCCCCTCAAGCCTGGATTAAACGCCCCAGATTTGATGACCACGCTGGAGATTCCAAGGGTCAGCATCACAGGATTCAAGCGTAGGCTCTGGGCCACCAACCTTGGGCCCATCAAATTCAGAAACGCACCCCCCTAATTGCTCATCAAACAGGCTCAATTCTTTTCTTTTTCTATTTTAATTCCTTTTTATTATTTATTAATTTTTTTTCTTCAAATAACACCAAAAAAATCATGCTTTTTTTATTTAATCAAAAAATTATAAAAACATCAAAAATCATTTTTTTATAAAAATATTTTATTAATTAATTAGTTTAATTAAATTAAAGCAATTGAATTCTTTTTTGTATAATTCAAATCAACTAGAATTAGAGTTTAATGTTGTACATAACCTAATTTTTCTCAAAAAATAACCTAAATATTTTCTCAATTAGATTTTTAGGTTTTTCAATTATTTCTCGCATTTAATTCGTCACGCGCGCCTTTAATTTTTCTTTTTTTAATTATTGTAACTGCTCCGAGATTGTAATAGTAATTAGGATTTTAAATTTCTGCATCTTTATTTACAGTCAAAATAATTATGTATCCGCGAAAGCCTTGTAATAGCTAGGACTTTAATTTTTCGCATTTTAATTTCCGCAAACTATAAGCTGTTAGATGTATGTTAATAGGATTGTATGGAAAGACAAATTACAATTAATACAGTAGAAAACCCTAAATGCGCAAAGATAAATAAACTGGAAAAAAAACACTTGCACATGCTCACTCCTAGGGTTTACTCCACTCCGGTTGCCTTCGGTAAACAGTCATGAAGTATAGAGAATGTTAGTGATCGTCCTCTAGTCCCAAAAGATCTAAAATGACCCATTCAGATGTTGTCTCAGAAAAAGATCTTTAAGGCTTTAGGATGATTACTAAAATTTTCTAACATTGCTTTTGTGGTCGTACTTGTCCCTTCGAACGTCCCTTAACACTCCAACAACGGTGCTACCTATTCCTTAATAATAGGATAACGCTGTCTAAAGGAAAATGAACAGACTTTTTTCGAGTAGGTAGATTAGTTCCTAGGTACTTGCTCAAACAAACAAATTTTACACACTTTTTAAAACAGTTTTCAAAACAACTTCGTCACACTCTTGAGGACAGATACAAGGGTTATTACGAAGTTAAACAAAAACTTTTCAAAATATACACAAGCAATTTCAAAATGAGCAAGTACCTAAGAGCCCGTGGAAAACCACAGATAGAAAGGGTGCTAACACATTCCCTTTCTATAATCTACCCCCCGTACTCAGAAACATCTCGAAAAATGTTTTTTCTGTTCTTTTTCCTTTTCCTTTGTTGGATGAAATAAAAGTCGATGGCGACTCTTGCTTACCGCGACATTTGCGAACAAAAAACGCAAACCAGTATAACAGTCGGTTCTGCCGCCTTATTACAATGGGCATTGAAGTAAGAGAGCATGTGTTGAAAGGAGAGCAGCTTGAAGTTGTATTTTCCAAAATTAACATGGTAGATTTACCGTTGGGAGCTACAAAACGTCGAGTTTTTGGGACGATTGATATTGAAAAAGCACTGACCGAGGGTGTGAAGTTGTTTGAGCCTGGTTTACTGGCGAAAGCTAATAGGGGGATTCTATATGTAGACGAAGTTAATCTCTTGGATGATCACTTAGTTGACGTCTTATTGGATTCTGCTGCATCGGGTTGGAATACAATGGAGAGAGAAGACATTTCAATCGCACATCCTGCCCGGTTCATCTTAATTGGTTCAGGAAATCCTGAAGAAGGGGAACTCAGGCCACAACTGTTGGATATGTTTGGAATGCATGCTCAAGTGGGGACTGTGAGGGAGGCTGAGCTAAGGGTGAAGATTGTGGAGGAGAGAGCTCGTTTTGACAAAAATCCGATTGAGTTTCGAGATTCTTACAAAGCTGAGTAGGAAAAGCTCCAACAACAATTTACCTCAACAAGGAGTTTTCTTGATTCGGTTCAAATAGACCATGAACTCAAGGTGAAAATCTCTCAGGTTTGTGCATATTTGAATGTGGATGGATTAAGAGAAGATATTGTAACGAACAGAGCTGCAAAAGCTCTTTCTGCCTTCAAGGGAAGAGATAGAGTAAGTGCAGAGGATACCGCTATTGTCATTTCTAACTGCTTGAGACACCGTCTTCAAAAGGATCCGTTGGAGTCCATAGACTCGGGTTTACTTGTCATTTAGAAATTTTCTGAAGTATTTAGTTGAACATGGTGTGACATGGCCAATCTTCTCTAGACTTGAATGTGAGCAAGATTATGAAGTTCTTAGCATGTTTCTGTCTCTAGTTTCTTCCGCATGTTTAGTCTACCGGTGTAAGATAGATTATTTCAACAAAAATGGAGATTATTGAGGTAAAAACATGAGCTTGAGAGGCCTCAAAATGAAGATTAACCAACAATGAACAGCTTATTATAAATTGGTTCTTTCATTAGCTTTTGTAAAGACAGTTTGTATTTTGTTGAAATGTTGATATGTAAGTATTTTCAATATATGATTCACACCTGAAATAATTATTATCTGACAAGATATTCATGCATATGCTCACATTCCTCTGCCCATGCCATTCTAACTTTCACCAAGTACTGTCATATGGCGCATATCAACAAACAGACATATAGATATCTATGTCATCAAACTCGGCCTGGAACAGCAAACTGTGTCATGCTGTGCCGTTCTATCACAGATGGGCGATTCGGCTGGAACGACCGCGAAAATGGATTGAATTTGGAACGCTGCCGCTCTGACACTAATTTGGCATCAGTAATGTCCAGTATTAGGACGAAATCAAGAATTTTCAACATACCATTGGGGCAAAAATCGATCGATATGTAGCAGCAAACCACTAGATAGAATACGACATACAAGGCACATGAGAGTAAGAAACTCAAGCATAGTTATAACTAAACGATAATAGAAGTTCTTAACAAGTCAAAATTAGATACATAAACTTAATAAAATATAAATTTCTTTGAATAAAATCCTTAAAAACAAAGAAAGATGTCAATATCTTAAATAGCAAATTGCCATCACATCTATAGATTAAAAATGATATAAACAATCCAAGTTCATTTTGCATCCTTATCATTTCATTCAGTTCCAAATAATAGAATAAAGCCTTTACAACATTTTATTATAACAGATCCCAAAATTATCTGGATTTTTTTGTCACCCCTTTTCGTTTGATTGATTCTACCGATACGAACACAAGGTGAGTTCCAAGTGATGAACAGTATCCTCTTCCTTTCTTTCGGGAAATATAAATTATATTTGTGACAAATATATATTCTTGTAAGATGAAGAAAAGAACATATATATTGAGGACAGTATGATACAAATAGATATTGAACTCAAGTCATTGAACTGTCCTTGCTTACAACCTGTGGAAGCTTGAATTTGGGATTCTGCTCTATGAAAGCAGGTGGCCGTTGGTACACAACTGATGCAGCCCTAATCAAAATCCCGGCGGTTAATCCCCATATGAGATATTTCTTATGCTCAATATCATCATAATCAAAAAAATGTATCAAATACTTCTCTCCCATCCACTCTCTCTCCTCCTGACTCCGATTTTCATCCTGCTTAAACCAATTACGACATTAGACAACTCGAAGATGAATACACAAAAGCGAGGATGCGGTTAGTTAAAATTAAAACTAAGCATGGTGGTACCTTGAGAAACATTTCTAAAGGCGCGTCAAATACTGATTCCACTTCTGCAGGATTCAGAACAGGTCTGAATGCTTTTTTATCATGAAGTATGCCAATGACAGGAACTACTCTAAGAAGGTGCTGTAAAAGAAACAACGATAGGTGAGAAATAGACTAACAAAAAGTGCACAAGCTATCTAATACCGGTGAATGTAAACATGATTGCCATTAACACAAATTTATAACTAGTGACAGCAGCCCAACTTCCGAAATGATCATCTCAGACTCATACCACAAATTGCCTACTATAAACTTATTCTTCACACGGCATGGAATCTCCTTCACAAGTGAAATTATAATTAAGCAAATCATGACTTAAACACTTTCAAAAAAATCAACTTTTTTCCCATCACAGAAGTATTTCATGAACCAAACATCAATCACAGACAAAATTTTCATAAAGGTACAATATTTGCAACAAAAAAAAAACCTAATAAGACAAAACCAGAGAATACTAAATTACACATTAAGCCACAAGCAAACCATAACATATACCTTAGACAAGAATGGTTCAAGAACGGTAACAACATTGACAAGTTCAGGATCCAACCCAATTTCCTCATTTGCCTCTCTTTTCGCAGTATCCGCGTCATCCTTATCCCCTTCATCAGCTTTCCCACCAGGTAAAGACACTTCACCTAGAAACAAAACACAATTGAATTCAAAAATTGAAAATTGAAAACCAGATTACACAAAAGAATGCTCTACATTTGAAACCCTCAACTAAACTAACCCGAATGAGAAGAGAGCTTAGAAGAACGTTTAGTGAGAATGACCCTTAGATCCCCATGATCACCTTCAAAGAGACAAATCAAAACAGCAGCTTTCTTAGGTTTGAATTTCTCCGGGTGTTGAATCTTGGTGGCGGATTCAGGAAAACCCAATTGAGATACAACTTTGCCACCACTCTCTTCTTCAATGCTCTGTTCGAAGATATCTTCAGGGAAAGGTGGTGGCTTGTAGAGGCGAAGGTGTTGTGCCAAAGCTAGAAGCCTCTGAGATCCTCCAATGGTGGCGTGGGGTGAAGAATCCATGAATTTTGAGACAGAGATTGTTCTTGGTATTAACGTTGTTGTTATTGTTCTTAAAATGGAATTCATGTGTACTGATGATTCTTGAAATTAATAATACTATAACTCTCACCTACCATTTACTATGAATTAAGGTTTCTTAATTTTATTTTATTTTCTTCAGAACTTGATGATGAAAGATCTGTGTTAGTTAAGGTACATTTGTTTTGTAAGAAAAATAGTTGTAACGAATTAAATTTTAAAAAAAAAGTTTAAAGTTTTATATGGAGATTTTTAAATAAAAATAGAAGTTGATTTTTATTTATTTATTATCATAAAAATTATTCTTATTGTAAAATGAGTTAAAAGATAATGTATAAACAGTATAAAATAATTTTATATTATCACTAATAAAAATTTATTTAATCAAATTATATAATTTATTTAAAAATAATAATATAATTTAACACTTAACATAATTATACTTGATTGATATTATAAAGTAAATTTATTTAATAATTTTATTTAATCATTACCGATGTATATCCTTTACTCTTTTCTCTTGTAAATATGTTTACATGTGTATTCTTATTAAGGATGCCACTTATGATTGGATAACAATATTTCAAGAGGAAGTATTTTAAACTCAAATAGATCACTTTCATTATTCAAATATTATCTGATTATAATAGATCAGTTGGTTTTTTTATTTATTTTAAGAAACAATATTTGTATAGTATTATAAAATTTTATTTAATATAAATTTATAAAGAATTTATTTTTTATAAAACTAAATGGAAATTTAATTTAAATAATTTTTTTCTAATAAATGGAAATTTAGTTTAAATAGTTTTTGATAAAATATTAATTTATATATTTCATCTTTTTATTTTAATTTTTTAATATTAACTTATGTTGTAAGCAAGGAGACAAGAATAGATAAAAGTAGTGTTGATTCACATTTGTATGAAAGTATACTCCAATTAATCAAGTCTAATATGGATCATCAACCTTAGAAGTCTCACCAATCAAAGAAGAATAAAATAAAGTGGGAGAAAACAAACTATAGCTTCTAAATGATCACCATCTTGAATTGATAATAAAGTATTAATCAAGGATTAAAGGAGCAAGGCACAAGAGGCCTTATCATCATAGAAGTCAGAAACTAACACAAGTATAATCAATCATTAAATGACTTAGAAACACCAATTTGAAATTCTCAAGGCAAATACCAAGTCAAAGTCTTATTAATGAATGATAAGTAAACAACAAATGAAATGCATCAAGTAGTCTTAGCATTGTTCATGAACATGGTCTTTAGGACATCAATACTTAAGCATCAAGTCACATATAAAGTGACAAAGGTGGATCATGTGCCTTTGAGACATCATCAATCAAAGAAGAAATAAAAACAAGGTTGAAAAGAAGAGAGTTTTTGCTCCCAATTGTCATCAAGATGGACTTGTAATTTAATGCAAGTCATAGAATCATGTGAGCTATTCCTTAAAGGCATGATGACCTTATAAGTCAGTAACAAAGACACAAAGCTTCATTCATTATGGATCAAAGGTATTTGACAAAAGAATGCATCAAAACAAACTCCTAACCTTGATCATATTTGGTGAATTTAGACACATAAGCAAACACAAGTTAGGATGCTTAAATAGTTCACCAATTTTGAACTTAAGATCCTAAGCAAGTTGTGAGAATAAGGTAAAGATAAGGAAGTTTGATTCCTTGTATGTTGCACAAGTACATTCACTATATCTCGCATAATCATCAAAGAAGCATAAGAAAGGATCAAGTTCCAAATGAAATAAAAAATGATCAAAAGAGAGATCAAATGCCTCTCAAGTCTTTGTAATGCTATCCTTGAGTTTATCATATCTCCAAACCTCAATGAATTCATAATCATAGCAATAATTGGGTCAAAAGGTTGCAAGAATCACAAATTAGGATTTTGCAAGTCACACAAACTTTATGCTCAAGGTAAGGACCAAATGATCAATGCAATTTCCCATAAATGAAAATAAGTTAACATGTCATTAAAACGCTCAAATGATCATAACATACCCAAAGATTGACCTTAAAATTTGTTCATAAGCTTTGGAATGAAGCTTGACTAAATTATACTAGGCCAAATGGACATGTTCACAACAAAATTTCATAAAAAATAGAAAAATAGGATATAAAATCCAAACAAAAATTATCAAATAAGCTAAAGTCTCTTACAAGTCAGAAACCATTCATTTCTCAATTTAAAAGTTCATGAAAATGTCAAAATTAAATCAAAAGATCAATACTAGCTCAAAACTAAGCTTAAACAACCACTAAACAAAAATAAATTATAAAAATCAAAAGTAAAATTCAACAAAAATAAGAAACATGATCTCAACATCTTCAATAAGCTTAAACATATTTATATGGAATTTTGAGATCAATGAAAGTGAGTGAATTATATTGAAACTTCAAAAAAGAAGCAATAAAACATCAAAAACCATTAAATCATTTCTTAAAATTTGAAAACCAAAAAAAAACCTAAAACAAATGAGGTTTAAGATCATCAAAAATTCAGGAAAATTCAGAGGAACATGAAAATATATTTTGGGAATTTTAATAGTTCCTAAATTGGACAGAAATAATTTTATAGTAAAACTATGTAAAATAAAACAAAATAGGACACATTAAATCAAATAAAATGTGAAAAATAGAAAATAAATGCTAAAATTAAAATTAAAATCACATGTAGAAAATAGACTCAATTATCTTTCAGTCTATATATATATTTTTTTGTATTTTTTTGAATCAATAAAAATATTTTAAATAAATTAAAGAAAATAAAAGAAATAAATTATAAAATAAACAAAATAAAATGAATTAAATAAAGGGATTGGTCAAAGAATCAATGCTAGGGACCCACAAAACCATCATCAGCCAATCATAGTGTGTCCCAATCATTGGGCGCAAAAGACAAAAAATGTGATCAGCCAATCAAAACCAGGCGCGTGTCATGCAAAGCCCAAAAAATTGAGATATCAGCCCTAGAACCCGTGTTTTTTGTCCTCTCTTCCAATCCAATTTCTCATTCATTTCTCAACAAAATTGAAAATTGTAAACACCAAAATTGTAGATCTCAAATAGATCAACAACTTTGGTTCAAGAATTTTTTGAAATGGTTGAGATCTGAGAGAGAAATTTGGATGAGAATGGAACATAAAATCAATTTTCACATTTTTTTTCCAGATCTGAATAACTCAAAATGCAGCCAATATTAATGAAAAAAATTCTAAAGGTAGAATTTCAGTAGCAACATAAGAACAACATCAAACCATTTCCAGATGCAATATGCAAAGATCTAGGGTTTAATAGGCTTACCTAATGGAAAATGAGTCCACTACCCTCTTGTGCTTCTAAACGAAAAAGAAACCCAGAGATTGCTTTTGATTCTTCTTATCTGGAGCTCAAATAAAGAGCATAGTGAATGAGATGCTTCAGAAACTTGCTTGCTTGAGGAGATTTGAAGAAATTGCAAGAATAGAGAAAATTGGTGGAAAGCTCAAAGTTGCATGTGTGTGTGTGTGAATGAAGGCAATTGGGCTCTTATATTGAGGCTTAGAATGAGAGTAGGATAGTTATTACAAGCTGAGAGACGTTGGAGGGCATTGTGGGGAGAAATTGCAAAAGTATGCCTTGGTCACCAAGCCTGCATTTTGTGTAGAGATAGGGATGAATTTTGTGCATTTTAGAAAGCTCATATATGCAGTAGCATGTGACCAAAAGATAGTACAAGTTAGTGGAGCATGGAGAGAGAAATAGAGAATGGCTATTTTTGGCAAATTTGAGATTTTTTGTACAAACTTGGTACAATTGCATGCATGGGTGTGAACATAAGGTTTGATTCTCTTGTACATGACTCAAATAGATTATGGGCTTGATTGGAGTCCAAAAGAATGGTTAGAATTGGAGAAATCAAGAAATTGCAAAATTTGACTTGACAAAATTCAATAAAATGCAGTCCCAGCCTAAAGGGTATAACTTGCTCAATTCTTTGAAACAATGGACAACTTGTACTATTTGGAAAGGTCTTGAGATGTTATACAACTTTCATGTTGGAAGTTTTCTCATTTGAATCCGTTAAATTTATCAAAACCGGCCAGGAAAATCTAAAATTTTGAGAAATGGCCTATAATCTTCAAAAGTGACCTATAATTATTTGCTCCATAACTCTCAAAATAATCACTTTTTGGGTATGAGACCACATTGACAAAGTTGTAGATCTTATTTTTCTATTTCCAACCATGTAAAGTTTGCAAATTTTCAATAAGAAATGAAGAAGTTATGAATTTTTAAAGTTCAACTTTATGACTTTCCACACTTAGAAAATTTTCCAATTTCACCAAGATACCTTCATGAACAAGTTAACTTCAAAATCAATATTTCTCTTGAATTTATTCAACCATAAGCCATATGATGTTGAAACATGATCATTGTCCTCAACTTTGACCAAAAATCCACTTGGTCAACAATTGACTTTTGCTCAGATAACCAAACCATCAAGATCAAGTAATTGAACTTCAAATAATGCCATCCAAGAGTCCATAATCCATATAAGCATGACTTAGGACATATATAAGTTATTTAGAACCAAGTTTCTCAATACAAATGTCAGGAAATGCCTTTGTCAAAAAGTTGGCTTTTCAGTTAAATATGTCAAAATTTCAACAATCATCCAATGCAGTGCTTTGAGTAATCTTGTGATGAATACACTGGACATACTTGATACCTTGGGATATCAATTGATAATAGAAACCAAGTCTTGATGAAAATTAAGCTCACAACTTGAAAGGGGACAAAGCCTTAATTTCTAATTGAGTAGCTTAGGAGATGATAACTGAAGATCAAACCCTAATCTCTCAAAGATTCTTGAGAAACCCAAAGAGCCAATGAACTTGAAAGAAACTCATTAACATGAGATACCATACAACTTTCCTTGAGAAGCTCAATCTCTTTCTCGGTGGATAATCTTGAGCAAGGAGGAACCCTAAGAACCTTGGTCCCATGAGTGAGTGTAGCAAAGAATATGACCTAAT